TAAATATTGAAAGAATAATATTTATAAAGTACAACGAACAAGAAAGAGAAGGACACGATTAATGTGTGAAAGGAAAAAAAGTACAGAGCAGAAGTGAATGGAAAAGAAAAGCCTAAAAACAAAGAGGTGGCAAAAAAAGAGACATGACGCTGATGAAGCGATGGTGCTGACGAAAACACAAATTGAGAAAGCAATGGAGTGAAAGACATGAATTCATGAAATCATTCGTCAGAATAAGTGAACTAGAAAGAGAGAATAGCAGAGGTGCAGCGTGTTGGCGAGGTGTGGACATTGCTTGTCGACAAGACCGCCGACAAGTTCTTCCCTCGACGCAGAGCAGGGATCGTCTTACCCTCGGCTGGCTTCACAGCTCTGCAGAAACACTTTTTTTATAAGGATGCGGTGATGTTTTACCCAGCAGGTCGGGTAAAAAGATCAGGACTGGCAAAAAGGACATTGTGGAACGTGTAACAGTTACTAAATAGCAGTAAATGATTCATCATGGCCACACTGTTGAAATGTAGCATCAGTGACTTCTTATACTTAAGACATGTCTGTTGTTACCTGCAGGACTAACTGACTCAGGAGAAGTAGAGAGAGAAATGCAAACATGCTAACGTCATAGCTCAGTGTTGCGTTACAGTGTTTCCTCTGTTGTGATAAAAGTTACACAATTTATTTATTATAAATCAGAAGGAGGGAAACGTGTGCTCACTGTTCTGCTGCACTTTAATCATTTCATGTCTTTAAAAGATGTTTTCAAAGACAAACGTTCGGTCCACAGATCGGTCGATCTGTTTGCTGAACACACTTGGTTTCTTTTCCCCCGTTTACAATCAAACACTGAAATCCTGTAAAGACACAGACTGTCTGTCACACTGATTTTCCGTCTCCATGAAGGATCAGGCTGAACAGTAAACTTCAGGTCTGGAAAACAAAGCCGATGTGGGGAAAACTGTGAGCTGGTGAAAAAGTGTTAACTTTCAGTGCCGCTCTCTTCAAGGCGCAGGCCTTTGTTGTGGCTTTACACACTGAAGTAAACTTCTCATCTGTGTTTGAGGTGTTGGTGGCGTTTGGAGCCGCTGTAATATTTGCAGTTTACCGACAAATATTATGTCTTGCTGCGTTATTTGTAACAGCACACGATCAAAGAATCTGGACTATATTTTTCTGATGACATTTCTAGTTTACCGATCACCAGAGATGGGCAGTAACGCGTAATCTGATTACTTTTTTCATGTAACGAGTAAAGTAAGGGATTACTATCGCAAAAACGGTAATTAGATTACCGTTACTTTCCCGTAGGAACGCTGCGTTACTGCGTTACTAAAACCGTGATTTTTTGCGAGAATGTCTCATGACAGTGACGTAAGCGAGTGCGACGTTCGTGACAACAGCTGTGCGCAGATCAACAATGGATCATATATCGAGTGCGGGAGAGAGTATGAGCGTGCAGCGTTTAAAGCGTGGAAGTACTGACCTTACTTTGAGTTTGATTCCATAAAAAGTGACAAAAACATTAGTGTCCGCTGTGCGTGGGAAGAAAACTTCTTTTTAAAGCGAAAAAACCCCTAAACTTCCGAGCAAGCACCGAGTAGCTACGACGTAATGGGAAACTCACAGAGAAACTGCCGTATCCTTCCACTGACCGCTGCGGCACACCTGCACCAGGGTAAAGCTCCGCCTACCCGACTCCTGCTTTACAGGTGAAAATAGAGCAACAGGACCGCTAGTCTTTGACTTTATTTATTTTCTGCTGTGTTTTACTTGCATCTATTTGAAAGAGTGAGTGCAGCACAAAAAAATATTTTATTTTATGTGCTGGAATGTGCAGAAAATAAGTTTAAATGTTAAACAAATTTCTTCCAGTCAGAGAATGTTGCATATAATTAAATTTTTGCTTGATGCTTAAAGTTAAAAGATTAAAACTAACAAAACAAGTTTTAAAAAGAGACTTTTCCATCTGATTACATTTTGTATGATGGATTATGCAGAAAAAGTAGAATTGGGCTGAAAGATCTATCGCTTTATCACCTATTCAGGGTGTAAAGCGTGTTTTTAAAAAGTAACTAAGTAACTAAGTAACCAAGTAATTAATTACTCGTAAAGTAACGGGATTACTTTTTGGGGGAAGTAATCGGTAATTAGTTACTGATTACTTTTTTCAAGTAACTTGACCAACACTGCCGATCACTCAAACAATGTTCTGAAGACGATTGCTATTCCCTCCAAAAATCCAAGATATTCAATCCAAGATGATATATATTTTCCATCGAGTCTTTGGTTCAGGTGCAAACGGTCTGAACTATTCTAGCATCTTTGAACTTTTTCTTATTTCATTTTTATCTTAACTTATTTAGCTTTTTTAAAGTTAAATAAGATAAAGCATTTTTAAAATATTTTCTTCAAAACATTTTACAGTCTATTGAATTCATTCATTAAACACACAAACTAATAGCTGCCATGGAAGCTGAACATCTGGATTTAGGAGCTCAGGAGTTCATACAGTCCAGACACTTTAACACGTGTGCTTTGTGGCTAGCTGACCGAAACACCTGCACCACAGCTGGCAGCTGTAAGGAAACAAATATTTATGGCAAATGCATCAATTGGAGAAATGCCAAAGCATCAGTGAATGGTAATGACTCTTTGTAAACTAAATAATAAACAATGGTAAGTGTCTTAGATATATTTGTACCCCCCAAATGTCACTTTATCATGACTCCAAGTTGTGTTGTGCAACCAAATGTACCTTCATTACAGGCAGGTGGTTCTCTCTGAGGTGGAAACACTGGCACATTGGTGCTGTGAACAAACCAGCAACAAGTCTGTCAGTTTCCCCAAAACTGAGTCTCGATGATGTCATTGGTAACTTCTGGGAAACCCAGTCGACTGTTTGGCAGGCGGCAAAGGTGTCATGGATCAGCACAGCCTAGTTTCACAACACTGTGTCAGTCATAAAGAAGAACGAGCGGAGGGGAAGTCCAGAAGGTTTGGGCTTGTGTCGTGCGGTGCCGTGGATAAGCTGAAGTTATTCTTCCCGCCAACTGAAGGATTCTCAGACTTCCAAAGATTTTCCTTTAGCATCCTCTGCTCCCATCCTTTAAAAAAGAACTACACTAAAATCCACTTAAAAAAAGACATTTTTTCAGTCATATGCAAAAGCTGAAAAATGTTTAGGAATCAAGACTTAGAGTTAAAAACTGCTGCTAAACATCCTAGCTGCACGTACCTGCTGCCTGACTGCTCAGAGTAAATCATGTTTGCAAACCGTGACTCTGAGCGCTGGGACAGACGATATGGCGACATTACCACGTGACTGCAGTGCGCTTTCATCACCTGACAGATTCCAGGGGACCGGACCGGTTTCAGTTTCAGTGGAAAGACACAGCACGAAAAAGGCAAGACGGGTGAGAGTGGCAGGTTACAGAGGTCGTACACTAGAGGGACCCGAGCAATGAGAAGGGTGACAGTTACTCACTCTTTCCCTCGCCCTCTCTCACACACACATTGAAATCTGTCATGGAAAAAGAACTCAATACCTTTAGGCCTCCGGAGATGTTAGAAAACATCTGAGTGACTGTATGCGTGTGGTGTGTCGCTGCTCTGAGCTAAGATCGCTGATTTACCTTTATTTTGCTGATTGGAGGACAGTAAACATAAATGTAGACTGACCTAGACTGTACCTGCTTCCCTACACGACTTTGATTTGGGAAAACAAAATTCCCACATCCCCCTTTCAGGCTGCTTGTTCTCAGAAACTCTTGTGTCAGAAGAAATATAAATATTTGGCACATGATGTAAAACGCATCAGCAGCCGTGTGATTATCGTCTCTGTAATAAAAGGAGTTTTGATGGGGTTTACTTCCCACATGAGTTTTTTCACTGAGTGGTCAGTGGTGAGTTCAGCTGCGTGGATCCGTGTGCGAATTTGTGTAGGGTGTGTCCTGGGAAGGCAATGCAAAGAGCTAAGATTGGATTGGTTTTTTAGACCACAGGCTTTGGTGTTGCTGAAACCAACACCTCCCACTGACATCTATTATACTGCAGGGAGTGAGCAAATGAGCGAGGAAGGGGGAGAGAGCGTGCACGTGGAAAGAGAGTGAAGTGGTTTTAAGTCTTAGTGCGTGTTCAGTAAGTAGACAGAAATCCAGTCACCTTTCCATTCAACTTCATTACCACTGCAAGTGTGTGTCAGCACATGTCCATGCTTGTGTGGTGAAAGTGTTTGTTTGCATGCGTCTGCATAGCTTTCCTGTCTATCCTCCGCCCCTCGTTTAGATTCTGTTCAGCACTGACCCATGTGCCCTTGGTAAACAGCTTTTTGCCCTGGCTTGTAGACAAGGGCTTATGTGTTTGCATAAAGGTGTGTATGAATTTTTGCATCCCGGAATTCAGCCTTTAAACCACAACGGCCGCTCTGCATGACAAGTAAATCTCTCGCATAGTAATCCAAAGTCAAAGTTTACTTTACCGGGAGATTCCCCTTCGTTCTGATTGGTCTATACATGCAAACCATACATGGATCAATGTTTCCCCTGTAATGCTGTAAACCAGCACCAGGTACCTTAAATCTCCTGGTGCTAAACTACAAAGCTCATAAAGCTGTGCTGTGGGCATCTTCTCTCCCAGTTTTCTGCCTCTCTCCTTTCAAACTCGATTCCCTTTAATACCAGGAGGACTGGAGGAAGAAATGTGAGCAGAAAGGCGAAAATATGAAGCCACAGAAAGAGAATGAAGTGGAAAATTTTGGTGAGAAGGCAGAAAGAACTTTGGTAAAATGAAAGAAATGGTGAGAGTGGGAAAAATATGTAGGAGGTAAGAGATGGTCAGAGAGAGAGGAGATGAAATTGCTCTTTAATCAGTGAGGGGCTATATGGAGGCGGGCCGAGGTGCCTACTGTAATCCGATACACGCGCCCGCGCACGGCGTGCACGCGCACTAAGGCAGGGGACTGAGTGAGCGGTCCTGCTCGCTGCCACAAACCCGGCGGAGAGTGGAGGGGAAGGAGCGCGTGCTACCGGGAGAGAGAGAGAGGGGGAACAGGGCAGAGCGTCTGAGCGCAGACACGCACAGTTGTGGGAGGACAGCGGAGAGGCACCACGTTTCGTTCTGCCTACCAGCTTTACGCACGCAGATCGAGCTGCTCGGAGATCCTGCGTTGTCTTTTGCGCATGAACTGACCATTACCGGGAAACTCGATGGGAACACATTTAATTTCCTTACCAAGAAAATGCGCCTGAAGATATTTGCATAAAACAATTGGAAATAATTTTAATCCAAGGAGGAAAGACGCGAGTTACTTTTTCCCGTTTCCGTCGCAGTTAGCGCTCTCTGATGATCTTTTTGGTTTCTAGTTCATTTGAAACACACAATTTTCTTTATTTACTCTGCTGATCTGTTTCCCTGCGCTGCCGACTGTGCGCACAGCAATGGATTTTAAACCGTGTTTAGAGTTCAAATTGCGTTTCTAGACAAGTTGCTCTGGTTGAGGAGAAGTGGCGGCACGCACTCACACTGCTCGCATGAACTGTTTTTCTCCGGCGTGTTATTCTTAGAGAGTCGGGTGAACGCTTTGGATTTTGGACACAACCGTGTTGCACGTTAGAAAAACAGATAACTGTGGAAACGGTCAGGGAAGTGCGACCTGGAGCCGTGTGTCAGATAAAGCAAATAAAACCACACAGGAGGAGAAGACGTGTTTTATTCTGAGGGAGAAAGATGGATTTATTCGTTTGGCTCTGTGGATGTATTTTGGCTCTTCTGTTACCTTCAGCGGTAAAAGCCGGGGAAGGAGGTAAGTTTGATGCTGTTGATGTCCGCCTAAATCCAAGCGTCACACAAGGTGTAAAAAGAGAAAATAAGAGCAGTTACACATCACAAAACGAATAAAAGTTGTTTTCTTTCAGTGCAGTGAAAGTAAATTCAGGGAAAGCATCATTGCGCATTTGGTGACTACGGGCTCGAGCCAAATCCCCGCGCACTGCTGAGGGACGTTGATTACTTTAATCACATTTAGGAGACAGACCCGCGCTGCTGGATGGCCTGTGAGCCAGCTCTCTCGGTCCGGTGCAGGGACAAACGTTAGGAAGTACGAACGGGCAACAGAAATGATTTTGTCACAATGACTTTACAGATGAAGTATCTTCGTCACCAGCCGAGTTTATTTTTTTTAAAAATTTAATCCAGGGCTGATTTCGAAGGGATCCTGGTTTAATCAGCGTTGATTTTATCGTCTTAAAAAACATCAGTAACGACGTTCAATAATAAAAAGATGACAGATCGAAATCTTCTGTAAATTCCTGTCGGGAGTAATTTTGTTGTCAGCAGTTCTTCTTCCAGCACGTTTCCATCTCTTGCGCTCTTCTAAAATTCCTCGAAACTGTCTTTACTAAAAGGAAAAAAGCTGAACGCATTTCTTTACAGTGACTGCCTGTCATTCCGGGAGCGCGGAGAGGTGGCGGCCGGTGTGACGGGACTGCTGCCTCCGTGTACCGGTCTCCACGGAGGCTCGCGTTCACTCCCGAGCCCGTGTGAGCGACGGGATTTGCGGCTGTGTAACCCGACCACGAGTTCACCTTCGAGTGCATAAGCGGGAATATGATGTGAGATGGGAACACGCATTTGCTTTTTACGCTCTGTTAAATGCGGAGAGGCAGAATCTATCGCTGTGTGCGTTTTCGTCTCCAGACAACCTTTACGCACGAGGAGGATAGCCACAAAAATCTTTTTCCATATGTGAACTTGATGCACAGACGACGTTTTAAGTCTCTTTGATTACAACGAACCTACTTGTCACCACATAAAACACTCGTTACCCAAAGTTTCTGTTACATCGTCACAGGCAGGGGCGTATGGGGAGTTCGACTCAGCTGATGGACACTCAGGACTCCGAGTGGTCTGACATAGTTTACGTAAATTTAAGAGCTTAGCTACTGCGGCCCTTACCAGGAGACTGATGCCTTTTGTTTTCGCTGCACACAATGATTGTTACCACTGGTTTCTCATTGCTGCCTATGCAAAGACCTGAATACTTGGAGATATACTTCTAGTCTCTCCTCGAGTTTCACTTTCTGCTTTGTGGTGAATGCACATGTGTAAATCTAGAGAGAGAGAGAAAGAACCGAAAGGGGGAGGCTGCAGGGAGGTTGGTGGCATTCGAGGTTTTACTGCCTTATTCCGGAGGGCTTTTGCAGATCTCATGACTTGGATTGAGTGGCCCTGATTGCCAAATGTTGTTTTGGAGAACCACTTTGTACAGAAGGCACAGGGAGGGCATTCTTTACACACAATTCACTTCTGATGTGAGAAACTGTACGGTGGAGCATCCTGCTATCTGTGGATATTTTTACATTAGGTTAAATCTGAACTAGTAATTTAAGGCCTGTGTGATGTGAATGTTCAGATGATTAATATTATAAATAATTAATAACTGCTGACTTTGTGCAAAGCATGCAACGGTTCTGAGGCTTTCCTGTCCAGAAGAAAGAACAGCAGGTCATTTGATCAGCAGTTGTTTGTCTTAAAATTAGTCATATTTACATTCAACACCAAAGCAGGAAGTATGTGCTGCAGTCCAGCACAGGAAACATTCAGATGGAAACTCTGTGGCATTCAAGGAAGATGAATGAGGTGTTTAACTTCAATGCCAACGACTGGAGTTTGTTCTTTTTCCAGCTAAATGACGCTGACAGTGGGGATAAATATGAGAACATGTTGATATTCTGTTCTTTTTTGACCTTTTACTTTATGTTTGCTGACAGCAGCCTGATTTTCCTGGGGACCCCCTCGTGCTCCCCTCGAGGTTTCCCTGCAGGTACACCGAGCATCTCTGGAACAAACACACACATTTTGAGCAGTAGGCTATACAGAATGGAGCTTTCTCAGCAGTTAACTTTTATAGATGCCTCTACTTTGTTTTCTCTGGAGAGATGAGCAAGGAAAGCATAGTGAGACTAAGAAGTGTATATATAGAGAGACGCAGGAGGGATGGAAGTACAGAGGGAGGAAGTAACAGAGACAGCAGAGACAGAAACAGGCAGAGGGAAGCAGCAAAAAGCAGTGAACGAAACGGAAGAATGATTTTTAGCCTCGCTGTTTGATCCTGTTTCTTCATTCCGTTTGATCACAGCTGTGCCTGGAAGGGAGATAAACGGACATAATTGGCCACTCAAGACCAGCTGTCTGCCTCCATAGTGTCTCTGCTGAAATATGGTGGATGATGAAACAGGATCACCATGATACTAAGTGTAAGAAGTGTGCTAGCGTGGTGGTGAATTGCCCACAGGTACGCATTAAGGTTTGGTTTATGCGATTGTTTTTGATGGCTCCAACCGGCCTGGTGTGATTTTAAAAGTCTGAGCAGTGGGAAGAATTTCAGGAGGTGAAGTTAACAACTCCATTTACATGCAGGGGAATAAATAAGAACGTCTGGCAGACTTAAAGGCTTACCGTCTAGCAGGTGCTTCACCATCCACATGAAGATGTTTTAGTTTGGTCGCTGAACATGAAACAGCTTCTCCTGTACGTGCACCGTGTGCTGTGAGTGTGAGTGGGTCTCTGTTTCCCGGTGGGGTCGGCTCGTAGTAATTAAATGTTACATCAATTTGGGTCATAATGCTTTGTAAACGTCAGCTGGCCATCAATAAAACAAATCATCCATGTCATTCACATAATGGGGTTATAGCTCAGAGCCTAATGAACTGACTCGCTGCCACAAACAGTCATTCCACGTAATTACAAATCCAGGTTTTAACCTGAAACACTGCAGATATTAGAGCACGCAAATATGAATTCAACAGTATTTTCTGTAATTGCACAGGCCTTTACAGAGCTGTGTAAAAACTCAAACAGCATGCTTATCATTAAGAGCAATTAACGATCCTTAAATCAGCTTCTTGATGAATTTGTGTGCATTCTCCATAATCTGTTTGTTTTGAGTTATTCTTTTCTGTCATCTTTGTCGACTGATCCGCTGATTCTGAGGGAAGGAAAACAGAAGATTATGTGTAACGTGCGAACTTTTGCCAACATGAATTGGAAACTTTTCTCCCCATAAAGTACACACAAAAAAATGGAGCAATAAAAAAAAAATTGAGCAAGAAATCAGGAGAGTTTGGACGTGTGCAAGAGAGAAAATGAAAGGGAGAAAGTATTACGGGGCATTAGTGAAATAAGAGGAAGGCAGCAGAGTGTGAAGCAGTAGTTGAGTGGAGCCACCTGCAGTAAACTAACCCAGATTTATTCTTCTCCTCTGAAACGCACAAGAAAGTTTCTGGGCAACATCCTGCACATTTTATTAATAAATATGTACTCCTATTATGATACACTGAAGGTGACGGATTTAATTTTCTTCATGTGATCTTGATAAGTATAAAATGACATTATAATAAAGGGATGTTTGACGCTGAATATGAAATGTTGCTCACCCGTTTTTTATAGATATCAGAGAACAGATCAGACTAAACGTTGCGTTGGCCTGTGATGGTCAGGTTTATTACTTACTAGGTTTATTAAAACATTTTATCAGATAGCTCAGTTTGCCGAGCTGGTGCAGGTGACACCTTAGAGCCTTTCCACTGATTTCATTTTAATCATCTTGCAGGCAGCAGGTGTTTTCCACCAGGCCTCAGGATTAAGTGTTACACATATTCATCAGTGGCTCAGATCACCACGGTGGCTTTTTTCCTTTTTTCCAGTTTTTTAAAACAAACAAACAAACAAAAACAAATGCACTACATGCCACTGAGCCGTGCAGCTAGAAGAAAAACAAAAATCACATGCATCAAGCACGATGACATTAGTCTCTCAGTCATTAGAATAATGATAGCCTAAAAACAGAGTGGTTTTTCCATCGACATCAACAACCTAGCTGCAATGAGCGAATAAACATTAACCCAATTAACCTTTGGCACAGTCGCCCCTTCTCTTTCTCTCCTCTCATCTGTAAAAGGGAAAGGACAATTAGTGGGTCCAGCAGGATGTTCTAATTACAGTTATCATGCCATTAGTAAACTGTTAGTATTCTAGTGTCTTCATTGGCCACTGGTAATGACTGGAGTAATTAGAGAGGATGCTGGGAGCGAGTGGGTGTTCTTGTGTTTGCAGCCTTGTGAAGAACATTTGTCCTCAGAGGGAAAGGGAGATCATGGAAATCTTTCAAATGAGGATATTTGCCTGTTCCCACTTCTTTTAAAATCCTCGCACACACAGAAAAACCTGTGTGTGCGTGTGTGTGTTTGTGAGAGAGTAAGCCAGGCCTTCTGTGTCTGCAGCAGTCCCTCCGGAGCGCTGTGGAACGAGGCCACAGGTTGTTTTCCTTTTTCTCTCCTCGTCACACCGAATCATCCTGTTGTTTTCTACTTTTCATGGTACTCCAGCTCTTCTTTAATAGTGCGCTCTGTCTCTTTCTCCACACCTCCCTTCTGTCAGTGTTTTGCCTCACCCCGATTAAGAAACCTCCCTCACCTTCTTTTAGCCCCACTTTGCCACGGTGGAAAATCTCTTTACTGTTTCAGCCGCTCACTTTCTGTCTGGTCCCTGGAACTCTGTCAGTCTGTGTTTTCTCGTACTTTGGAAATCCATTCACATGACTCGCTAGAGACGCTCATTCATACGCTGCTTAAAAGGAGCTCTATTCAGTGACTTAAAGGAATACGTCACATTTACGGCCCACCGATCAGTAAAAACATTCCTTACATAATCAGTTTTTTTATATACAAGATATAGGATGATTGATAGCAGCCTTCACTGCAATCATAATGTCAAAGTTAGCAATTTTATTCAACTACACAGCAG